TATTCATATTGATTATTGTAATTACTAATGGAGTAGAAAGTAATAATAATAATAGAGAAGAAAGAAATACAGAAATAATACATACACGAATAGAACGAAAACAAGACAAAAGAATATACAATGGATATAAAGTACATTTAAAAGGTGAAGAAGTAGTAACAGAACCACGAGAAGAAGTAAAAGAAACTGGAAATTCTAAACAAGGGAGTGGAAAGCATTCAGAGGTTAGTGAAGAAAAAGATGATAAACACATAGATAGTGTGAAACAGAATGATGGAGAAACAAACACAGCAAAAGCAGAATCAAAAGAAGTGAGTAACACAGAAGAAAAAGTTACTGGTAACGAACAAGAAGAAGAACAAGGAAATAGTAATGAGAGCAAAAAAGAAGAAGCAAAAAAAGAACAAGAAAAAACAAAAGAAAGTGGTGATGGAGATACTGAGAAAAAGCAAAATATACATACAAATGAAGGAAAAGAAAATAAAGATACAACAAAAGATAAAAATGACAAAGAAGAAAAAAAAGAAACTAATGAAGAAAAAGAGTCAAGTGGAAAAGAAGGACAAAAAGCAAAGGAAGAAAGTAAGAAAGAAAGTGAAAAAACACAAAATAATGAAAGTAGCAAGAAAGAAGAAACCCATCAGAAAGAAGAAGAAAAAAAGAAAGAAGAAGAAAAAAAAGAAAGAAGAAGAAGAAAACCAAGAAAAACCAATTAATGAAAAGAACGAACAAAGAGAAAATAAAACAACAAATACTTTTGATAATTCAGGAACTAAATTGGATGATAAAACTGATGAACATAATAATCTTGATGGAGCCTCAAGTATATTTATTGTTCTTTCAGGTATTATTGCTTTATTCTTCTTCTAATTGACTGAAATTTTCTTTAATTATTTTTTTTTATTTATTCAGAACGTTGTTTATTAATGTTAACGATGTAAAAATGCGTTATCATAAAAAGTATTGATTAATCTTTTTATGCATTTTCATTTGTACAAATAAAGTCATTTCTTTATACACAACCCAACAACTAAATTTGTTATATCAGTATTAAACACAATAAGTTATAATTGTAATAAACTTCAACTTTTATATTCTTATCATTTAAATAACATTTTTAAATAATTTTATGTTTTTTTGATAACATATATTAAAAAGATACTAAGTATACAAGTAATAATAATATAACCCGTATATAAAAAGAAAGAAATAAAATGTATAATGAAAACAAGTGAAATTGGTGAAACATTCAAAAATCAAAAAGAAAAGAAACAATCAAAATAATGATAAGATTTAGAAAAAACCAAGAAAACCAAGAATAAACAAATTTATAATAATTAATGAAAAAAGAATAGAAGAAATATTATTGAGAGAATAAATTTATATACAGTTTATGAAAATAATAATAAATAATTAACTGAACTAATATCCATTTAAAAAACTAAATGAATCAAATCAAATGATTATGTAATTTGTTTATTTGACATATAAAATTTATATACGTTGTGTAATAATTTATTAAAACAAGAATGAAAAGATAATGATGTTAAAATGAATAATTATCATACAAATAAGAGAATTGAATGATATTCAATGAAGACATAAAATTTATATAATATTTATTTTTAATTAAACGTGCTAATTTAAACTAGTAATGAAAAATATTACGAACGATCAAAAAATATAAACAACAACTAAAAAGCAAAAAATAAAAAAAGAAGAGAAAGACACAAATGAATAAAAATAAAGTAGAATAAATCAAGAAAGGCAACGAAAAAAAGCAAATAATTGAA